TTTCGCAGTTCAGGAGACAATTTCCCTGCCAAAACTGTCACGAGTGCATACGTGATACCCGGTTGTGAGTAAAGATTAATCCAAATTTGTGGGGGTCGCACGTTGGTAGGGGGGAATCAACCTAAAATTTCAGATTCCCAAATTACTTAGTTCCCGGGATAATAGTTTTCCCCGCCGAAACTTCCACGGGGCCGTAAACGACACCTGGGCGTGCGAGAAGGCTAAATTTAAATTCGCGAGGCTGTATATGACAGGCACACTACTGCAGAATTCTGGGCGCGCGAGAAGGCTGAATTTAAATTCGCGGGACTGTGGCAGGGCAGATACCGTAGAATTTCAGCTTCTTGGCTTTTTTGGTTCCCGAGATAATTTCTCCGCCAAAAATTTTACGGGGCCGTAAGTGATACGCTCAGGCATGAGAAGACTGAGTTTGAATATGAGAGGTTGCACGTAGGCAGGAAATAATCCTTCGAAATTTCGGCTTCCCAGCTTTCATGGTTCCCGAGATGATATTTTCCTCGCCAGAAATTTTGCGGGGTCGTACGTGTTACCCGCCTGCAAGGAAAGGTTGAATTTAAATTTTTTGAGTCGCATATAGGCAGGAAACAATCCTCCAAATTTCGGCTTCCTAGCTTTCTTGGTTCTCGTGACGACAATTGTACCCGTCAAAACTTTTACGGGGCCATACGTGCTACCTGCGGGCAGGGGAAGGCTGAATTCATTTCCTGGATCGCACGTGGACAGGGAACATGCCCGCAAAATTTTAGCCTATTAGCTTCTGTGGTTTCTATGATAATAATTTTACCCGCCAAAATTTTTACAGCACCGTTTGTGTTAGCCGCGGGCAAGAAAAGGCGGAATTTAAATTGCGGGGTCATATATGAGCGGGGAACCTACCTCTAAATTTTCAGCCCTCTGGCTTTTGTGGTCCTCCAGTTGAAAAAGGGGGACAATACACACTCAGACACAGACATACACACGCACACATACATACACACAGACAACCCCATAACAGTGTGCGTTTTGTGCTGCTGTTACGCAACGCATAAAAAGACAT